ATAGGAGTTTTTCTTATGCGTAGACCCAATATCCAATTTATCAATGAACTAGCCGTCCCCATACTCCGTTCGGCAATAGGCGTTAAACATACAACCACCTTAATACCCCGTTCGATATAAGAGTGAACTATACCTTTCAACTCCTTTTGGTATGAGACTTCTCAGCCCCATTCGACTGAGGTAATATCCGCGGTAGGATTTTTCCTGTGCACCGGGTCCATACACCTTTCCCTAAGGTACCCAATAAGCTTTTTATACACATGTCTAGATCATCAACTAGTCAACAATTACATACCAACATTTCATAATTATATATCGATAGTAAGGCATGCAAATAGGCAATACGAAAATAAAAAAAAAAAATATGATTAGGGTATTTACTTCGAATCAGTCAATAAGTGAGAATAACAGTCAAACAATCAATGAACGAGAAAGTGATTAAAATTAATAAACAATAGCAATTTAAGTAGTATAGGAGTAAATAAACAACACAACTAAGACAATTATACACTGACCGATTTCAACTCAACTGGTGACTTGTAATTAATTTAGAAATTTTTAATTTTTTATAAAATACACCGTTACTAGGTATTAAACTTTAATTTACCATAACGAAAGAAAATGGTGAGAGATTTTTACCCCGGATCGGTGTTCGAAATACTATTTTTTTTACTGCACCTCCTGTCGATCCTCAAGTTTCCTAAATTTTTTCTGCAGAAATCAAAAACACGAATTACGTATTCCAAAATACCTAAAAAGGCTAAAATGAGCATTTTTAAATTTATTCGACCGATTCAGGGTTCCGGCACAGCGGCACTACCATGCTTCAATGCCGACTCCGCCGCCCACAGCAGCACTTCCTCTTGGTCTAGCCATTTTTGGTCGATTTTGGCCGATTTTGCATAGAAACCTGCAAAAAATAGCGTTAGGAAGCCTCTGTCGGCTAAAAAAGAGAAAAATCAAGACTTTATCAACGGAAGAATTTTTCAGTGCGGCGGCTCCGCTGTTCCTCTCTTGCGGTTAGGGCTTTTCTTCGGCTAACTTACATCAAAAAGAGATGAAGAACACAAAGGTCAAAGAACCGAAGAAAACGGGAAATGGAAAAGAGCTCATCAGAGGGGTTTTTGGCTCTCGACCATGATGGCTCAGCTAAGCTTCGCTCATAGTTTTTGGCTAACCTCCCGACCTTTTAGTTCCTATATGGGTGTGGGTAGGTTTAGAATTGAATTCCCAACGAGAATAGGGGAAAAAATGTACCTTTCTGGCGTCAGCAGTGGCTTCGATGCAATGGAGACGGCGACCGGTCTTCTTCTCTTGTGACTGGTTCGCTTTCGACCGCTCTTCTTCTTCAATCTCCTCTCTAGTGGCTAGGGTTAGGGTTTTCTGTAGAAGAGAAATTTAAATACTTATCTTCATTAAATCCGGACCGTCCATTCGAGGACACGTGGCCAACTCTCCATAGTTTGATTGCTCTTATTTGAAAAATTAATCTGGGTCACACGATCTGGATCAAATCTAGTTATTTGATCTTATCTGAAGAGAAAACGGATCTGGGTCATCTGTGTGCGTGGGAGAAGATTTAGGTTGTAGGATATACTAGCATATGAATTGTCCGCGTGGCTTCCCGCATGGACACGTGCCCACGTGTCTGCCACGCAGCGCACGTCGATCGGCTATGCTGCTTACGTGGCGGTTCACGTGGCCCAAGTTTCATTAATTTTATTTTTACCCTAATTTTTCAGATTTCTTTTTAAATAGGTTCCCCCCCCCCCCCCTATTTCTACTTTGGCTCTGATTTTTGAAAATATTTTCAAATACATCCAAAATAAATTTTTCCTCCAAAAATTCATAAAAAATTAAAATTGAAATTTTTTAATTCATTATTATTATTATTATTATTATTAAATTGTCCCATGCCTAATTTTCGGGCCCGGGTGTTACAGAAGAAGATTGATTAATCAAGAATCTTAAAAGGATACGAGCAAATATTGAGAAGTAGAGAAGGTACACTTACGAGAGAGAGATAGAGAGAATATGCAACTTCTAATTTATATTCCGAGTATGCCTAAGCTTTTCATGATTTTATATTTTATATATTAAAAACATATTGACATATAATATCAAAATCACAACTTTATAGTTTATAGAAAAATGTCAATGATTTACTGATTCAGTATTTTGAAATATGATAAAATCAAATCCGGGACTACCTTTGCATTGATTTTTCTTATGAACCCATATAATTTAGTGAGAATTATACAACAACATTAAAAACTTATAACCTTAAATTTATGGAAAATTGCTTATGAGACTAAGTAATAACTTTGATGCTTAAAATTAACAAACACAACAATAAGGTAATAAAATTTCTACTTGAATCAGTTTCATTTTAAATATTTGTGAGTGGTCAACATCTATACAACAATTTAAAATACTTTATAATTTAAATTGGCGTCATTCGGGAATATGAGATAGAAGGTTACTTTCTACATGAATGGATGGATGCCCAACCCTTAGAAAGTGGAAATCAGTGAGATATTAGTGTTGTTATGTAACACTCGGGCCCAAAAATTTAGCCCGAGATAATTTAATATTAATGAAAAAATATATTAAAAATATTTTAATTTTAATTTTTATGAAATTTTGTTGAAAATTAGATTTTGGATATATTTGAAAATATTTTCGAAAATCAAGGCTAAAATAGAAATAAGGGATGATCTATTTGAAAAACAATATGAAAATTATGGTAAAAACATAATTTTCAAAAATACTGCCATGTGGGATGGCCATGTTAGTAGCGCAGCGAATCGAATGTGCCGCGTGACGGACACGCTGACACTGGTTTCACTCGAGAGCCACGTGGGCGATATGCATTCCTGGGCAATCCAACGGCCTAGATCGTATCTCGCACGGACAAATGGTCCAGATGTTTCCTCTTCAGGCATTATCGGACAGCTGAATTTGATCGCAATGGATGACCCAGATTTACACACATATCGGCCTAAACAAGTATTGAATCGGACGGTCCTCCTTACTCCACATCGACGTGAATGAACGGTCAGAATCAAGGGAAAAGAGGTATTTAAACCTCTCTTCAGTCGACTCCAAAACCCTAACCGACAACCTTGACTAGAGAAGAAGGATGAGGGTGGCCGAAGAGAAGATCAGCTGCCAGAAGGATGCCACTGCCACCGCATCGGAGCCATTGTCGATGCCAAAAAAGGTAAAAAAATTTATGTTCCACTCGAAATTAAATTATAAACCTCCCCACACCCATATCGAAGCAAAAAGAGCAGTAGATGAGCCAAAAAATGTGAGTGGAGGTCAGCTGAGCCGCCGTGGCCACAACCCAAAAATCTCTCCGATAACCCCTTTCCTATTTCCTGTTCCCTAGGTTCTCTAACTATTGTGATCGTCGTTTCTTTCTGGAAGAGGTTAGCCAAAGAAATATCCTAATTGCAAAGGAGGAACGGCGAAGCCACAGCACCCGAAGACCCTTCTTCTAGTAGGGTCTCGATTTTCTCTTTTTTTGACCGATAGAGGCCCTTTAACTTTGTTTTTACAGGTTTTTATGCAAAATCAGTCTAAACCAGCCTTAAACGGCTAGACCGAGAAGAACCGCCACCGTGGACTGCAGAGCTAGCGTTGGAGCACGGCAGCGCCCCTGTAC